GGAACATCACTCAGAGATAGTAGGAACTGCCGATGCTGGAGTCTGAGATAACAAGGTGTAGAGCTGGATGAACACAGCAGGCCAAGCAGTATCAGAGGAGCAGGAAAGCTGATGTTTCGGGTCTGGACCCTTCTTCAGAAATGGGGGAGGGGAAGGGGGCTCTGAAATAAATAGAGAGTTGTGGGGAGGCAGTGATAGAAGATGGATAGTGGAGCAGATAGGTGGAGAAAAGACGGACAGGTCAAGGAGGCGGGGATGAAGCCAGTAAAGGTGAGTGTAGGTAGGGAGTTGGGATGGGGGTTGGTCAGTGAGGAGGGAGGGGTGGGTAGGTGGGAGGGAAGATGGACAAGTCAATGAGGCAGGGATGAGAGGGGGGCTGGTCTTGGGATGACGTTGGGATTGGGGAGGTTTTGAAGCTCGTAAAGTCCACAATGAGACCATTGGGTTGTAGAGTTCCAAGACGGAATATGAAGTGCTATGAAACATGCTAGCTCAGTGGTTAGCACTGCTGCCTCACAGCACCAGGGACCCGGGTTCAATTCCACCCTCGGGTGACTGTCTGTGTGGAGTTTGCACGTTCTCCCCGTGTCTGCGTGGGTTTTCTCTGGGTGCTCCGGTTTCCTCCCACAGTCCAAAGATGTGCAGCTTAGATGAGTTGGCCCTGCTAAATTGCCCATAGTGTTCAGGGGCATGTGCCTTAGATGGATTAGACATGGGAAATGCTAGGTTAGGGGAATGGGTCTGGGTGGGATGCTCTTCAGAGGGGCAGCATGGACTTGTTGGGCTGAATAGCCTGTTTCCACACTGTAGGGATTCAATGATGAAAGTGAGTTTGGGATTAGAAGCCATACCAAAAAAAGCACACATTCAGATAGTCCCTTTGCAAGCCTCGTAGACATTACAAAATTGTTTCAAAGCAATAGAAGTCATTTAAAATTGTAGTCCGTGCCGCAATGCAGAAAACCGTACACAGCACACACCCTCCAGCAGTGATGGGGTAAATGGCTGGGTAACCTTTCATTATTGACATTGAGAGAGGAGCATATGTCAGCAGGGATAACACTGCTACTCTCCTTTGAATGATACTGTGACGTTCTTCATCTCAAATAGGACTATTGTCAGGAAAACATTAGCACCTTCACCAGTGGACCACTCACTCATCACTTCACTGTAGCATTCTCTTAGATTGATTGGTGTTCATTGAGGTTTCAATACTGGACAGGACATTGAGAAGAACTGCACAAAGCTTCTTCTACACAGCGCCACAGGGCCTTTTACATCCAGATATGAGGCCAGATGGCTCTTGGGTATAAAGACTTCTTTAATAATGAGCTTTTGGAGCGCTGATCCTTCAGTCGGACCTCACCTGATGAAGGAGCAGTGCTCTAAAAGCTTGTAATTTCAAATAAATCTGTTGGTACTATAACCTGGTGTCATATGACTTCAGACTTTGTTCAACAGCGGGACCTCCATATCATTTCTAATAATGAGTACATAGTTTCATATTTACCTGTGGGATGTACATGTCTCTGGCTGGGCCCAGCATTTACTGCTTATCCCTAGCTGTCCCTTGAGAAGGTGATGGTGAGCTGCCTTCTTGAACCGCTGCAGTCCCTGTGCTGTAGGTGCTCTTAGTGGGGAGTTCCGGGATTTTGATCCAGTGACAGTGAAAGAATGGTGATATATGTCCAAGTCAGAATCTTTGGAGAAGATGATAATAACATGTTAATTTTGCAAAATTAGTAATTTAGAGGTTCAGGCTAATGCTTTGGGGAAAATGGGTTCTAATGCATCAAGGTAACTGGTGACATTTTTAATTTATCTTTAAAGTAAAGCTAGTCTTGGCAATAATGGTCACAAAGGCATCAGTTGTCGTTAAAAATCCATCTGGTTCACTAATGTCCTTTAGGGAAGGAAACTGCAATCCTTACCTGGTCTGGCCTACATGTGACTCCAGACCTACAGTGATGTGGGTGACTCTATATCATTTGCAAAGGTCATTAGGAATGGTTAGCTCTCATATCTCTGACACAATTCAAAAAAGTATTGTATTCCCTCAATGATCCATTTCAGAATCATCCTCAGTGAATCATTGTCATTTATTTTTATTGGAGGATGTATTTACAAGTGGATTAGTAATTACACCGTTCCATCCAAAAATTAGAATCCAGTTTAATTCACGTGATATCAAAGTGCTGTGTGTGAAGAGTGTTTGAATAGAGTAATGTGTTTCGGAATCTATTGATTCTAATCTCGCATCTGAAAATGGTGCACAAAGATAGCTTAAAATATCTGATTCCCTTTATCCACAGCACTCCATCTCAAACTCAAAACTTGGGAAACAGCTTGAGAGACCTATAACCTTTCACTGACCAGGTCTCTGGTGCCCATTAGCTGTTCTTTTATTCATCCACAGATGTGGACATTGTTGGCTGGACTAGCATTTATTGCCCATCCCTAATTGCCCGGGGGCAGTACAGCGTCAATCACATTGCTGTGGATCTGGAGTCACATGTGGACCAGACCAGGTAAAGATGGCAGTTTCCTTCCCTAAAAGGCATCAATGAACCAGATGAAATTTTCCTGGCAATCTTAATTCCAGTTTTTTTACTGAATTCCTTTATTCATTCATGGGATGAGGGTATCACTGGCCAGGCAGCATTTATTGTCCCATCCCTAATTGCCCAGTGGGCTGTTAAGAGTCAACCACATTGCTGTGGGTCTGGGGTCACATGTAGGCCAGACCAGGTAAGGATGGCAGTTTCCTTCCCTAAAGGTCATTAGCGAACCAGATGGGTTTTTCCGACAATTGACAATGGATTCATGGTCATCATTAGACTCTTAATTCCAGATATCTATTGAATTCAAATTCCACCATCTGCCGTGGCAGGAGTTGAACCCAGGTCCTCAGGGCATTAGCTGAGCTGCTGTATTAACAGTTGAGCGATAATACCATGAAGCCACCACTTCCCCTTTTAACCTTAGAGCCACCCTTAGTGAAGTGGTGCTAACATGGTAACATTAGGGAGCTGATTAGCTCAGTTGCAATGCCAACAGTGCGGGCTCCATTCCCACACTGGCTGAGGTTACCATGAAGGACTCTCCTTCTCAACCTCTCCCCTCGCCTGGTGACCCTCAGGTTAAACCAGCACCAGTTGTCTTTCTCCATAGAGGGAGCATGAGACTATGGTCACTTTTCATCCAGAACCCTAGGTTAATGTTCTGGGGACATGTTTTGAAATCCCATCGTGACAGATGGTGAAATTTAAAGTCATTCAAAAGAAGAAGGATGACTTATTGTAAAAGCCCATCTGGTTCACTGATATCCTTTAGGAAAGGTGATTCGATGTCCTTGCCCATTCTGATCACTGTGCAATTCCAGACTGGTAGCCAGTGTGGTTTGATGTCCAACCACCCTCTGGGCAGTTAGGGATGGGTATTAAATAATGGCACAGCCAGCGATGACTACATCCCATCACCAAATAAAGTAAAAACATCCTCCATGTGCAGCCTGATACCTGCTCACCTTCCTCGCTCAGAAAACCAGGCACCACTGCATATTGTGGGTTGCAATTGTACTTGTATTGCAGCAGGCTCTGCTCCTTTCCTTGCGTGTGCCTTGCTTTTGCAAACTGCCCAGTTCTCAAGACACGAGCCAATGGTTTCTCCCATGCCAGCCATTATAAATCATGACATGAGTAATAGTCCTATTGTTGCTGCACTGTTTATCCAGAGACCCAGCTAATGTCCTGAGAACACAGTTCCGAATCCCACCACGGCCGATGGCGGAATTTGAATTCAATTAAAAATAAAATTTGGAGTTAAGAGTCTAATGATGACTGTGAACCCATCATTGGCAAAAACCCATCTGGTTCACTAATGCCGCTTAGGGAAGGAAACTGCCATCCTTACCTGGTCTGGCCTATATGTGACTCCAAACCCACAGCAATGTGATTGACTCTTAACTGCCCTCTCGGCAATTAGGGATGGGCAATAAATGCTGATCTAGCCAGAGGTGCCCTCATCCTGTGAATGTATAAAACAATTGCTATTGGAAGATAATTGTTCCTTGGCATGTTGTTTTTTTTTAATCAAATGCTCCTCTTGTACTGCTGCAAAATAAGTTTAACAATTATGGATCGTCCCTCGGGCTCTCCAGAGAGATGGCTACTGACCCCGCTGTGAGACCAGTGGCTGAGGTCATACATTCAAGTCCCTGGAAAGGGAGCACAGGTTTCTGACTCTGAGGTGAGAGGACAGCCACATGGATGAATGTGAGTGAATGTGTAAAGTACTCAGTTAATCCCCCAGCAATGTGCTTGCAGTACCGCTGGGGTACGCTTCGATCTCGCACACTGGCCGCCCTGAGGTTTTAGTGCCAATTAGTGCCAAATTAGACAAGAGTTCACACTGTGTCCACGCAAAGCGAGGCATCACAAATAGTCCAAGCTCATCTCACACCGGCCTTTCACA